GGATTTCATATTAAACCCTTCTGCCACCCAGCCTCCAAATGCTGGCACAAGTCAGTAAAATCCTTTTCTTTTGCTTGTTTCTTTCAAGGAATGGGGGAGAAAAGGATGCTACAACTTAGACTTTGACATGGCCCCAGTTAAAACCCAGTTGCCCCTAAACCCTGCTATTTTACCTCTGTACCTAGAGCTAGCAGTAGTTACATCTTTATTCTAAAGGCACCTCTTCCATTTTTGTTATGTGTATGTATGTTTATGAAAAAACATGACAGTAGTCACACACAGGGGACCTTTTACTTCCTTTGTTTAACAAACTGTCTGGAGATAAATGCTACACGATGGCAGTTAAAGAATATTAAAAAAAAAAAACACACAAGACAAGGATGTCTAGAATCACAAGAGTCCCTGAGCAAAGAGTAGAAGAACATAGCTCAAGGCTGAGCAAACTCTTACAAAATCATTCCCCAGCTGCATGCAAGAGGACAGAAAAAAAAATAAATAAATCAAAACACTCTGCAGCTTTGAACCATGGAAGAAATAAGCATTTCTTAATTCTATTTTGGTGCACAAGTCCTGGTAACATCATAAGGTATCATGTGATTTTTGGAGCCTTGCCTAGGAGGCTGGTTATTCATGTGGCCCTGGAAAACCTTAATCCAGCAGCATTTGTCCCTAGCATCCCACTCAAGGGCAGATGTGAAGCAGATTTTCTCCAGTAACTAGTGTGGCTCGGGGGGCTGAGAGGCAATAAAGCTTCCTAGAGCACAGCATGACAAGGAGAGATCATCCGTACGCCAGCAGGTCTTTCCTGATGCTGTCTAGCAAACATAGCACTTCTGGATTTCTTCATTCACTTAGAAAAAAGGTTTCTAAAATATTAAAGAATTGTAGAACCTTATGTACACACCTTATGTGAATGGGTGCAGAGGACCCCGAAACATACAGCTCTGCCCAGGAAATTTTTTTATTGCTTGCAGCTAAAGCTGGTAATTACCTCTGAGCATACATAAGAAAAAAAAAGAAAAAAATCCTAAACACCTGAGACAATACAATGATTGTAATCACCCTCCCAGAAGCCAAGAAGCAACTATAGAAACACTGATGAAAATTAGAACTATTTATCATCCCAGAAATGTTACTATAAAATGTATTTTTTAAAAAAACATAAAATAGCTTTTATTTTTCTTTAAAGCCAAAGATTACCTTGAAGCACAGATGAAGCAATATTAAAAACATACACCATTCCAAAACAATCTGCCTATAGTACAGCTAAAAAAAAAAAGTGAGAATTGGTAGGCTGACCTTTCTACCTTGGATTTTTTCTCACGTATGAAGATATTTTCATTGAGACATACAGGTTACAGATAATAGATTTCTAAAAAAAAGATTCTGAATGTTTCTGAGAAGGCAAAACGTGATGCATCACAGGGGAGAGAGCAGAATATGAAGGCAACATCTACTGCATCAGTAAGTCTCAGAAGGGTAAAATCTTGGGACTAGTACCTACAAAAATATACACAGATCAGTTCCCTGAGTAACCAACCTTAAATAAAGTAACTGTATGAAGGAATTCCTTAAGAGCAATTTCAAAGCAAAGTCCACCTTGCTAACAAACAGTAAACAAATCAGCTTCACAGCACTCCCTGGTTTGACTTACAGCATTCTCAAGGGTAATGTTTCAATTTTAAAATCAGCTTGAGAGTAAAATCAAGAGTACAAGCAGTTTTATATATGACACCCAATATATTGAACATTACAGCAGCTCTTCCTGTACAGTACAAGACCACCACAGACCGATCAAGAGAAAAAATCCGTTGCTTAATTTAAGCGTACATACTAAATTATCTGCATAGATAACTAACAGCAGACCCAAAACAGATTGAGGTGAGAGGCCAAGTTGCCTGTGCCAAGGGTTCTCTAGGTGTTCACTAAAGGACAATGTAATTCTAGCGTTATAACCCCATCTTCCTGTCTTTTTACAGCTACTGTTAGGGAAGTCTTCCCAGCCCATCTCAATTCACAGGCAATTTGTTCACCTCAACCACAACAAAGCTTTAGGTCTTCACAAGGCTTTTCTGGCCGTGCTGGAACCGTGTCCATAGATGTCACGTCCTCTGTCACTCCTCCCAGTCCTCCATTGCCCATTCAGGCATCTTGGAGCAATAGTCAAACTCTGCTCCCTTATAGCGCAAGGCATGTAGGTACATCACCAGCTCCTTGGGAGATGGGTCCTGCCTTGTTATTTTACACTCCAGACATAAAGGATCCCTCTCTTCTGAACTTTTTTCTCCTGTGTGCCTACCCTTGTTTTCACATGAGCCCAGTTCTGTATTTTTTTCAAGAGTTTCTAGGTTGGTATTGAAGTTCAGTGGGTAAGCTGCTACTTCTTCTGTTTCAGAACCCTTGATGTCCTCAGCAAGGCAGGAGTTCTCACTTATAGGATCAGTCTGCACAGGTTCTGTGCACCCACTTGAATTTCCAGAGTCATTGTTTTCTGCATTAGAATTCAAGTCCTCTTCTGAGATACCCAAGATATCCAGGCTTTGTTTGGAACGATGCTCCTCCACCAGCGCCTTAAGGAGCTCTTCATCTGTCTTACCAATCTTTCCACCTTTGCCCTTTTCAGGGCCCCAGGCTTCCATATTATAGATAGGGTCATTGACAATAGGGTATCCTAAATACTGCAAATGGACCCGGATCTGGTGTGTCCGCCCAGTACGTGGAAGACACTTGACCACACTGCTCTTGCCATTGTAACTGAGTCTCTGGAAGATGGTTTTGCAGCATTTCCCTTTGGGGTCCACACGGCACACTCCCACTTTGTAAGAAACAACCAGAATGGGCTCTTCACAGACCACTTCATGTTCTGGAAACTCCCCCACCACACGACAGACATACTCTTTTTCCAGCTACAGGGAGAAAGAAGAGTGATGGTCAGACCAGAGTCTCTTGGTCTGATTACACTTCAACCTCATCCTAGTTAGTTCCTTCTCTTTTATCAAAGACTTTTGTATCTAGTCTACTCCTTAAGTTTTATTAAAACTGAACAACAAAGTCAGCTACATAACCAAACCCATCTCGCACTTTCTCCAACTGGTTGGGAATTCAAGAACAAAGGCCTGGACTATTTTCCTCATATTAAATTCAAGAGTCACCTCTCAGTGCTTTGAATTGTTACCTTTGTTTCAGTGCATTTAAACAAATCCTGAAGCTTGTACCCTACAGCTATGGTTGTGGAAATAGAAGTGAGAGAATCTTCATAAATCTTAAAGGGAACAGGCTGCCTACAGCAGTTGAGTCTCCTTCTCTGAAGATATTCAAAACCTACCTGGATGCTCTCCTCTGCAACCTCCTGTAGGGAACCTGCTTTTAGCAGGGGGTTGGATGGATGGTCTCCACAGGTCCCTTCCAGCTCCTACAGTTCTGTGATTCCAGCCCAAACTATCCCATGGTTCTGCCCACAGTCTCACAGGGATACAGTCCCCTTTCAATCTAGTACTACCAATATCCTTTACATTTTGCTCAGTCTTTCTTTCTGGAATCCTTCCACTCAGTATAACTAGATAATCAGAAGCAGGTTATCAGGCTTGTTTAGACCTGACTTTCTGATTTAACCTTTTTCAAGAATATACCACACAAGAAAACCCAAGAAAAACTCTCACCTGCCTCTCCCGAACCTGCTCATCAATCCTCTTGGAGACCTCTACCGTCTTGGCAAACATAAGCACTCCTGAGGTCATGCGATCAAGGCGGTGAATGGTGTGCAGTTCCTTCAGGTTATGCTCTTTGCCAAGGATGAAGATGACAGTGTTGTGACGAAATCTGCCGCAGGGATGCACAGGCAAAGAGGACGGTTTGTCTACAACCACCACCTCATCATTCTCCACCAGGATTTGGATAGGCTGGGCAGTGACTGGAGGCTCGTGGCGATGCACTGTATTCCTGAGAAAATCGTTATTCTGCAAAGAAAACAAGCAGTTATCACAGAATAATTGGGTTAGGAGGAACCTTAAAGCCCACCCTGCCACTGGCTGGTTGCCACCCAGCATATCAGTTTAGCCATGGCCCCATCCAGCCTGGCCTTGCACACCGCCAGCGCTAGAGAAACCACAGTTCCACTGGGCAGCCAGAGCCTCGCCACCCTATTAAAATGAATCCAACCTGCAGAGCCACCCCAGAGCGCACTGCCCGAGGCGCTGCTCGACGCGAGAACCCAGCTGCGATCTCCCAGGCCGGGTTAACGGTGTGCCCACACCACACTCGCTACCCGTGCAATGTCACCACCGGCGGTTCCCAGCCCGGAGCCGAGCCGCCCACCTTCAGCACGATGTCCAGGTCCTGCACGGGCTCCTCGTTGAGGCGGAGGCGGCCTGCGCGGGCGGCAGCGCGGTAGTAGGCGAGGGGTTGAGCGCGGAACTCGGTGCTGAAGACGTGCAGGAGGCTGCGGCCCACCCAGCGCCCTTTGCAGTAAGTGCGGAAGTCGTAATAGTAGGGCCGCACCTTGCGCAGCCCTCCCTCGAAATAATACGAGGTCTCGGCGAAGTGAGCCGCGCTGAAGCTCACCCCCGACCTCAGTTTCCGCGGCGGCGGCACGTAGCGCTCCCCGGCCGCCAAGCGCCGTTTCTTCGGGGCTGGAGCCGCCGTCTCCTTCTCCTCGTCCACATTCTCGAGTGCGGCTTTGAGGCCGGGTCCCGACTCGGCCATGCCGCCACGAAAAGAGCGCGACCGCACACCCCTATCCCGGCTCCGCACCGCGGAGCGCAAACACGCTCCCCACAGCGCTCCGGCGCGCCCCTGGCGCAGTGCGTGACGCAGCGCCGCGCAGCCAATCGGGACGGGCCGCCGCCGCGAGGCCGCGCCCCCATAGTTTGGCGCCGCCGCGACGCTCCGCATGGGAACCCGGCGAGAGCGGCACGGAGCGGAGCTCCTGTCTGTAGCAGCTCCTGCGGGGACCCTTCCCACATGTCCTTGCCCACCCCAAAGAAGGACAAAACAGAATTTTCTCAATCCAAAATTTGCAGTGTTGCTACCGCAGCTTTAAGTAAGTAGATGAAGAACAGGAAGACACACTCTTGTAATTAAATTTAAACAGAGGAGGGTAGGTCATTGCATTGTGTCTTATTTTTCTCCAAGCATGAGGCAGAGCAGTCAATATTAAAGAGTATTTTTAGTGAAGTTTTAAGTATGCCTGTATGCTTTTGGAATTCTCTGTGAATAGATGTTATTTGTAGCTTAACAGAGAGCATATCTGGAATTATCTGGATCAAATCACTGGAACCAGACACTGCCTCCAACAGCATGTGCTGGAGAAACATCCTTTTTCTCCATTCCTCCATAACAAGCTCATTAAAGCAGCACTACATGCATCCACTGATACAGCTTCCACTCAAAAAGCAAAACTGTACAGACCGTCTACAGCCACAAGTCCCATAAGTCCCACTCATGAACTTTCTGAGATGACTTTAGAGATATCCTTCCATCTGTCAAAATTCATCCCTGAGGCAAAGAAAACAACAGTTACTGCCATGCATTTGCCTTCAGTTCAGTGACAGAATTCAACAGGGTTCAAGTCTTCAGTCTGCAATCCCATCTAATAGAAAATGCATTCTACTCTCCTGCTGTGCTTTCCTAGCCAAGCATCTTTCTTCTGACTTTTACAAACAGCATCTGCCAGGAATCCAGGATCTCTCAGCAAAGCCAGCAATCAAGAAGAACAAGCCCACAAGGAGAGCTGGGAGGAGAAACGCTGCTCAAGGGAGAAGAAATGTTTACCGAGGCCACTGCTTTTCCTTATCTGTGAGAGGAACGTAGATCACACCCATCAGCTGGGTTTCAATTATCTGCCCATCGCTGGTTTTGTCGTATTGCATCAGAACTTGGTTTGCACCTTCAGGACCGACGGGCAGTATTAGCCGTCCTCCTGGCTTCAGTTCATTCAGCAACTGGAAAGCAGAAAAATCAGAATCAGCAGAGCCAAAAAAAATAAAAACAAAAGAAGCCAACCAAGCTGTAGGTTAAACAGACTGAAAAGGAAAGTTCCAGTGGTTCCCTAATTAATAATTGTATTGTGGCTCCTGGTGAAGGCATGCAGCTGTATCCTTAGCTCTTACCTCCTGTGGTACTGTTGGTGCTGCTGCTCCAACGTGGATAGCATCGTAAGGAGCCTCTTCAGGGTACCCCTGCCTGCCATCTCCAACTGCAGAAGGAACAAGCATGCAGAAATGACTTTTGTTCAGACATCACACAAAAATAAATCTAAATTCTTTCCATTGAAATCTAGAGTAGGAAAACTTTGTAGCAAGACTGCAATCTGAAATCCCAAATAGAACACTGACCTGTCTGCTAAAAACATAGCATGGGTTTACATTTAAAAAAACAGGAGAGATTTCTAGAATTGTCAAAGCCAGAAGGGCCTTTAAGTAACACAGTGGTTTTTTGGAGTCTTGAGAATCCAGACACTGAAGGAGCTGACTCAAGTTAAAATAAAACAAATAAAGGGAAAAAAAAGTGTGTGCAGACCTGCTTAAATAAATCCTGGATGTGGTACAACCACTCACTTCTGAAGAACATCTCTTTCTGAAATAAGATAGGCACTAGACATTTAGAAGATAGACTGCCCACAGCAGTGAATGCTATTTGCTTCTATCCTAGAGTTCAAGTCACTATTACATTGTGTTTACTTAGCCCAGGGTTTCTACCAACAGGTAGAAAGCAGCAGCACGAACTGAAACAATTGCTTCAACAAACAGAGCTCTGCTGACATCCAGAGCTAATGCACATTCACAGGAGAGGACAAGCATCCAGAGAGCTCACCCACGAGTTTTACACGGCCAGAGCTGAGCAAAGTTGGATCATCTTCTTTGACGTTTCTGATGGATTCATTTACCAGCTCTTTGATGTGTTCTACGCCCACAGCTTTCCCTGTTGGACCTACCTAAAAAAGAAACAGCAAACATACACCTATTTACCTCCCAATACATAGAAATACAGGATGTACAAAATATATCTGTATGTACAGAGACACATTTTATATGACAAGTTACTTGTAGGGACTGGAGTATTTCCAAAAAGAAACTTAATAGCAGTTTCAGAACAAGAAGGTGCAAACACTGTGGCGTGTTGGTTTTAAGGCTGAGTAGTCCCAGTTACATTAGCAGATACAATATCCACTCTGGAAATTATTGTATTTGTCATTACTACAAGCTAGCTTGGGAAGAGTTCACCCCTTCCCTCTGTGCTCTCCATTCCAGCTGTGGCAAGCTACCTGTCCTGGAGCACCTTGCTTGCTAGGAATGCAGTCCTGTGAGCTTACCATCCTGGCAAAGCAAGCTGTGAGATATCCACTTCCAGATCCAACATCCAGTGCTTTTGCACCTTCCACAAGCTGATCCTTCAGCAGCTCCAATGCATGGGCATGCTGCATGGGTACAAAAACAGGAGCGTGAAACATCCCATTCCACTTTCTTCCTCCTATAATTTTTCATTATGTTGTTGTTTCATGCATTTGGTGCTCTGCTTTAAACACAGCATAACAAGAATTCTGTCTGACACATGCTGAGTGAGTGAAATGTTTCATCTCTGACATCTTTTTTACAGAACAGCATTTAGGAAAATGTTCAGCAATAATACACAAAGCAGCGGAAAGAACAACTTCATGCAACAATTGGAAAACATTAGCAGTTAGCCTTAATTACATGGAATTTCTACCAGACCATACTTTTAAGTCAGTATTAAAAAATTTCACATATATCGTACTTAAAGAAACAGTCTCGATAACCATGCCCACGGGACCTTTTTCATCTTTCTGCTTTAGTAATTAATTAAAAAAAAAAAAAAAAAAGAAAGAAAGAAAGAAAGAAAAAAGGAGGAGGTACAAGCCATTTCCGTAATTTCTAGTAAAAGTGGAAAGTTTTATCTCACCATATGTGGTGCACTGATTGTAGCCTTGTATCCTAGAAGGAAGCCACGTGACAAAAATTATGTGACAGAGAAGCAACAGTGAGAATAATTAACATCTCTCTCCCCATTCCTTAAAAACATGAAAACATTTTTCTTTTGCCTTATTAAAGCACCTCGTTGGCTCATAATCTGTAGGATAACTAATGAGACCAAGATAGCTTTCCACTGCTTCAGTTCTCAACTATTCCAACTTCTAGCCCACGGCTCATTCATCAGAACACCCTGCAACTATCACAGGCTGCGCTTGTTTCTATTCCACAATTCAAATTCAGAACAAATTCAGAACACACATTTTGAACAGCCTATACCGTTCTTTCCTCTGGATCCCACTGCTGAAATACAGATGAGAGCTGCTCTTCTTAAAAACTCACCCGCTCCTTTGGTGAGAGTGCTGCCAGCACACAGAGCGACCTCAAGCCCCTCTGCCACCGTGCCCAGCACAATCAGTGCAAACACCATACTCTAAGCTGCTCACCAATAGATTGAGGGGAATCCATGTATGGGAAATACTTGATGTAGTGCCCTCTGTCAGTTGCCAGCAACACGTCAAAGACTCGCTGGGATTTAATGATTCCTTTTTCTGGAATACGGATGAAAACAGAGACAGGACTTTAATGCACAGTAGCAAGTCGAAGTCCATCCAGCAGCCCACGCAGCACACCCAGACAGCCCCGAGCGCACGCTCCGCACTCACTGTACAGGTTGTTGACCAGCTCGGGGTGCGTCTTCCCGCTGGAGGTCCAGGCCATGCTTCTGGAGAACAGCAGTCCCATGAGTGCCAACGTCACGCAGAGCAGCAGGCGACTCATCCCACAGCCGGCCTAACAACAGGAGCACCCCGCAGCTCAACCCTGTCTTATCTTAAACTCCTGCCCCCACCCCCCGCAGCTCCCCGCCGTACCAGCACTCACCGCGCAGCCGCACCGGGCCCCGCTGCCCGTTGCCAGGTGTAACAGCTCCCTCGCCTGAGCTGCGCAAGAAAACTTCCGCCCTTTGCCAAGATGGCGCCGCAGCGGCGTCGCTCTCCCATCAAGCCTTCAGCCTGTTCCCCGCCCCTTCGCTGTCAGGCCGTGACTGGTTAGCGGGAAAACTTCCGCCCTTCTCCAAGATGGCGCCGAAGCAGCGTCACTCTACCCTCACGCCTCCCGCCTGTTCCCCGCCCCCTTGATTCCGGCGAAGCGCGGTGACTGGTTAAAATCAGAGGTCGGAGCGTAGTGATTGGCTGAGCTCATGTGCCAATCGACGCTCTGCCAGAAGTCGCTGTGACTTCCCGTGTTGGCGGTGCTGAGGCGCAGGGTGGTGGTTGGAGCGGTCCTGCTGTGACCCGAACAACTGCATCCCGGAGAACAGTGGTGACAGGAGTCGAGGGTGCGGGAACGGGGCTGGGTGGGACAGGGGGTGCCGGAACACTGCGGCCTAAGACTGTGAGAGGCTCCTCGGGCCCTGACGGGTGTAAGTGCTGTGTTGTGCTGTGTTGTGCTGTGTTGTGCTGTGAGAGGAGGCTCCTCCGGAGCTATGAAATGTCCCCCAGTGCTCCACTGGGGTGGTTTGGGCAAAAGGCAGTGGCTGGTGAGAGGCAGAGAGACACTGAGTCGTTCTCACCGTGTGCCGCTTTACCCCCCTGCAGGCCTTCATGATGAGAATGATTGAGAGCGTTGACTCCGTGGTTGCCAGGCCCAGTGAGGACCTCTGGGCTGAAATCTGCTCATGTCTGCCACATCCGGACCAGAAGGATGCTAGCGAGGCCTTCACCGACTCATTCCTGGATTCCTACACAAACAGAGGAGGCCAGGGCAGTGGGGTCCCTTCCCAACCAAACCCAAAGCCCTGGGCACCCCTGAACGACTCAGAGGTGTATTTGGCATCCCTAGGTGAGTGTTGAGTAAGGCTTTTGGTAGGCTGAGGTGCCTGCTGACAACTGTGGCATCAGAGGGGGCGGTGCTCACATCTCTGGTTGGTTTTTGCATCTTGGAAGTACTCAACAGAGTTCCACACTCAGTTACTGCAAGTGCATTAGCTTGGAAGAGACCTTAAAGCCCATCTAGTTCCAATGCCCTGCCATGGGCAGGATTGCCATCCATCAGATCTTGATCAGGATGGCATGATGGATGGGAATGGGATTGGACATCCAGATCCTCTTTGGGCAGCATGTGTCAGGGCCACACCACCCTCTGAGTAAAGAATTCCTTCCTAACATCTAACCTACGCCTCCCATCTCTTAGCTCTTTTAGTTTAAAGCCATTCCTCCTTGTCCTGTCACTATTTCACTGTGTAAAGAGTTGGTCTCCCTCCTGCTCATAAGTTCCCCTCAAGTATTGGAAGGCTGCTGTGAGGCCTCTCCAGGCTTGCTCTTCTTCAGGCTGAACAAGCCCAGCTCACTCAACCTTTCTTTGTAAATTTCTTCAGCTCTTCCCTGGGAAGGAACTCTTCATTAAGTATAAGCCAAATATATATATATTTTTCTGTATCTTTCTTCAAATAGCATGTATTTCCATTGTTGTTGACTCGGGAAGGGGAAATGTATTGAATTGAACTCATTATAAGCCTTTGTATTGCTGTGTTGCCAGCATTTGTCTTCTGAGGCTCCAAGAAATAATGAGATGTTTCTGAGTGTAAAGAAAAAAAGTGAAATAATTCTGTGACCTGTTTTTTGGGGGGAGACAGGGAATCAGGAAAGATGCTGGAATCTTTGTTCTAACATAACATACAGCAGATTATACAGATAATCTCAGTGCTATTGCTTAATTCCTGCATAATCTATAAAACCGTAAATTGATTGTTAGCTGTGTAAAAGCTAATAGAAACACATGCTATGGGGGAAGATAAGGTAACCACTATTGGAGTCAATATCCTAGCACAGCTAAAAGCAGCAGTCGTTGTCTCTAAGGCCATGGATTAGCCACACTGTTTAAAATATTTCCTGATGTCTTCGTGTTGTACAACAGCAATCAGCACCAGGAAGGATGCTCCTCTGCCTGTTAGGAGAAGCCTTGGAGGTTCCTCTGTGCTCTGACAGTTGGGCTGCTACTCATCCAGTCATAGTGAAATATTCAATGTTATGGCTCTTTTCTTTCTGCTTTTTTCTTTCTGTGGAATTATTTTTATCTTGGGTCAGTTTATAATCTGGTTTTCAGCGCAGCCATACATGTCTTGGCTTATGTATGACGTTTCTGCGTTTCTCCCCAGGAGAAATGGGGATGGTGTGGCAGAAGTGGGTTTCAAGCTTTTATTTCTGCCAGAGCCTCCATTTTGCCTTTGTTACTGTTTTAGCTTTCTGTGAAACAACAGTCTAAGTAGAGCTTTTGGTATCTGATCAAAGGTGCCATAGCAACGAGACAGAATTTACTCTTCTGGTATTAATTGCTGCTGCAGTTCTAATGTGCTAAGAAAATGCTAATGGATAAATTTTTACAAGCAGGCTTCAGACTAGGTTTGTACTTGTTTTCATACAGTCAGGATGAAAGCATAACTCTAGCACAAACTTTCTTTTGTGTATTCTGGTTAAGCCAGCAGAAGTATGAAGTTGCTATGGGTTTCCACATGGCCAGGATTAGCAATTGTAGAATAGTACCATCAGGCTGCCAATATATTTGGGCAGATAATGATATTTCAGGTCTTAAGAATTGTTAGAGCGAGATACTTTCAGTGACAGCTCAATTCTGCAACACAAGATGAGCTCCAAAAAGAGTCACAGGTGAACTGCTCTGTTGTGAGCTATTGCAATTCAACTAACATGTCATATACCTTTTGGTAAAAAGTGTGAGTACAAATTAATAACTGGCCCAATTTAAGAAAGAATCTGTTATAAAGAGATTTTGTGACTGGAGAAACTCATAAAATTTGCTTACTTGCAGCTTTGTGCATTGTAGCTGGCTTACCCTGCGTCTGGTAAGAACACTATTTTCATTGTAGCCTGTGGCTGAGAAACTCATAATATCACATTCTGTTCTGAGATATTCTACTGATAATACTGCTGTGCTCACTGCAGTTTTTTCCCCTCAGTTTGGGCATTATTTGGATTTCATACTACAGTTAGTGTGATTTCTATTCCATGCCAATTTGTGTGGAAATTGTGGGAACGCAATGCATTTGAGATCTGTACCCTTCTGTGCAATTTCATCAAAACTCAGTGGTAAGTGGAAAAGTCATTAAAGCTAAGAAGTGGGCAGAGTGGACTGATTGCTTACACCTTGTTTCCTTCTGAAGAGTCACCTAAAATGACATGAAGGAAATACTGTCATGCAGATTTCAAATGCAAGAAAAAAGTTACTTAATAAAGACTAAGTATTGAAGTGTAAATTTGACCTTTTTGATATTGAAGTGCAGACACTTGTGTTTTTTTTTCCTCCTCTCCCTCAAAAAAATATAATAAAGAGCCCTGATTTGCCTCTTCACAGAGAGAAAGCTGATGAGAATTAAAGGTTTGTCTCAAGAGGTGACCTCAAAGGACATGCTGCGTACTCTGTCACAAGCTAAGAAGGAATGCTGGGACAGGTTCCTCCAGGAGAAGTTTGAGTCTGAATTTTACATAGAGGGACACGAATCTGATGAGAGGTAATAAGCAGGTCAATAAGGGATTGTTACAACTTGCAATAGGACGTTGTAACAGAAAGTCTCACTGCAACTTTTCTAGACTGACACAGGCTTTCTGAGCAATTTTGGTAATGCCAGTTGAGTCAGATTAGAGGGACACGTGGGACATGTATGGACTGAACTTTCAAAGCTGTTTACTGAATTTTTTTTTTTGCATTCCTCGTACCAGTAAGGAAACTGTAACCTACTTGACATTTTCCCTTGTCACTCTTGGAGTAGGGAGGGAACGTCTTAATGGGTCTCAAATTCCCTTTTTTAAGGCTTAGCTTTTAACAGTGAACTTCAGACCATTCCCTGCATCTTTGTGAGGGCCTAGACAAGCTGCTAGGGCCTAGACTGCTTCAGAAACAAGTGGGATTTGAAGTTCTTTCCAGGGTTGGTATCAGACCTGAAATTTGAGTTCATGAGTGATTTCAGTTCAGTGCCTCTCTTACAATGCTTCCTCTCTCACCCATTACTCTTTTGTAGATGATGTATGAATTAAGATGAGAGTCCTTTCCTAGACTGCTAAAGCAATCTACATTCTCAATCACTTAAAATGGTCTCTATATTTCTCTTTTCTGAGCTGACATTTTTCATGATTGCTTCTATTTGGAAAAAAAAAAAAAAAGATTATCTTTCTCCCTTAAGGAAAATCTACTTAAGCTCATTTTGGATTTTAAGTATGAAAAATAATTTATAACAGGTCTTAGATTCTTTCTTTGATAGTTAACTTGATTTATATTTAAAAACAAGTTGTAGACAGAGGTGTTCTTTCTACTCTGTTTTTAAAGGCTGGGGACATTAGCCATGAAAATGTTTTCATTGCTAGACTTAGACTAAATGAAGTTAGAGGTCACCCTTAAATGGTACTGAGCTATTTGAAGCTTGTCCAGCAGTGTAATTAAGCAAACCTTTAGTTTTAAGTGCACAAGTCATCTCAAGGACACTACCAAGCAAAATTCTGCTCTTGTAGAAGAGCAAGAGGAAGTTAATTTTGTTATGCAAGGATTGAATGAATTGTGTCACTTCCTGGCAGATGAGCATATGCACACATTTCAGAGTTATATTAAGTCTTAGTCAGCATTTAAACAAAGACAGAGTAGATCTTTTCCATGATGCCAGCTATTGTGAATTAGGCTGTAGGAGATTAAGTATATTAGTATATATTTATGTACTTCTGTAGTATTTTAGCATTCTAGGATGTAGGTGTACTGCCTGTATTTCTCCCTTAACCTTCTCTTGTCAGTCTAAATCATATCTTGTGAAGCTTTATTACTTGTCTTATCTTTTGTTGTGTCTTTGCTTTCTCTCAGCACCCTGGAGCATCTAAAGCGATGGCTGCAACCTGATAAAGTGGCCATCAATACTGAAGAGGTACAGTACCTCATCCCTCCAGAATCACAGCTGGAGAAACAGGAGACTGAAGAAGAGCATCCAGCTGCTGAGCAGTGAGATATGCAGCAGCCATGCCACAGAGCTGCCTCTTGTCCAGCCCTGATGAAGCTGTGTGCAGCAGCAGTAATGCTAGGAAGAGGGTGGGGGTGGGTAATGAGTGCCAATTGTCAGTGATTTAAAAACAATGAAATGAAATCCAACAAGAAAACAGCGCTGGATCTCCAAGGATATTGACTGGCATCTTTTTGTAGACAAGAGTGGAACAGAATATGCTGAACTGAAACCCTTTTTTGATGTAGTCCCAATGTGTAGCAACCAAATCGTTCTGGCGTGAATGTGAATTGTTTGTAACTCATCAGGAGGCATATTGAACTGTAGGGGGGAAAAAAAAAGCAGTTGTTGGGAAGCATCAGAAAACATAATGGTCTAGAATAGAACAGATAAAACAAGCCACTGAATCAGTTTTTGTTCTTGTCTTCTACCTTCTTTATTACTAACTTGGTCTTTTTTGTTTCTTGCGATGTCCATTGTGTTGTCGTTAGTTTTTTGTTTTTTTTTTATCAGATGATTATTTATGAGTTGTCCCTGAGCTTTACCCAGAGGAGGACAGAGGTTGTTCACCTATCTAAATTTGGAATCCTAAGGGAAGCTGTCACTGCAATTGTTAAATAGATCATAGTCTTGAGATCGTAGCAGAAGGCGGCTTGGTAACATTCTTCTCCTTGTAATGTTCCCTCCAAGAATATCCCACTTGATTGGCCATTCAAACTCTGTTTCAGAGTGGCCTGGAGGAGGAGTATGTTTATTGTTGGTCATTTTATACCCGTTCTCATTTTTTTCAGCCTCTCCCGAAGAGGCTCAGGTGAGATCCTGTATCAGGAGAACAAAGGGTGATAACTGAGAGGCTACAGATAGTTTGTTTTCATCACAGTCTAGCACGAAATTACCTACGTTAAAATATTCTAGCATATATATTTTTGTTGTTTGTTCTGTTTAACTCTGCAGAGGGTTGTTTCCCATTTTTAGTCAATGAAAGAATCGTAAGACCGATGCTTCTTTAAGCAGTGCTTTGTCTTGACATTGACGCTAAAGGTCGATAGAGGGAAGCAGTGTACATCTTCTGTCAGATAAAGCTCTTGCGACGGAAATTGGAGGGGTAGTTCTAGTAGCTGAAGCACATTAGACTGTTCATTATATATGAAATTACACTTTTAAAAAGAGCTTATCACCTTCATTGTTTCCTGTCTCTGTTTAGTTATAAATGTGCTGTTGTTTCATTCACTGCTGGCTGTTATTCTGTTGCTGCTGCTTCGGTGTCGTGACTGGGTGTTTGCCCACACCATTAGCTTAGTGCTGTAACCACCCACTGCAGCCTCACTGTTCTCTAAAGCAGTCACACATAATTCTCCATTAGAACAAACGTGAACATTTGAGAAACACGGTGAGTCACCTGAATGTCAATGATACAAGGCTCGCAAAGCTTTGGCGTTGTTGAAAAGGATTCCTTTGTCATCTTTTAAATGCCTCCATTTATCTCTAAAAATAAGTCTGCTTTGCTGTATTCAGATACAGTGCTGTAAATGCCATCTCTCACCTGTGCTGTCAGGCTATAATGAAGGCACGTCCGAGCATTTATCAGAAATGGAATGTGCTAAGAGAGAAAGATGCAATTTCTTTTTTTGAACCCAGGCTATTTTGCCGTCAATACATTTCCTTCTTGCCATTAGCAGTGAGTGAAGATGCTTTATATTACATTGTCTATTGCCATTAAAGTTATTTGAGCTAGAAATGTGTTCATAGTAACTGTACCAAAGCATTTAAAGTCCCAGATCCATGTAATCTGGCTCTGCAGTGTCATATCAGCTCCACCCACCAGCTTTGGCATGGCTAAGAAAGCTGGCAGAGGACTATGCAGTATGGTTTTGTTACATTATCATGCTGAACACTGGTCAGGAAGAAACACAAGTTTTCTGTTTGTGGCTGTTGATTGATAATGTCAGCACGAGACAGTAAATTAGGTCCTGAAGCAGTGCAGCATTGCCTTTTCAGCAGAGACTTAGACCTGCCAAAACATAAGCGATAATAGATTGGCATTTAATTGGAGACCGCATCCAAATCAAGCAGTGGATCCAGCCCCATCAATCTGCAGGCTTGCTCTGAAGGTTGTCTGACTCAATGGGGATGTAAACATTAGGACTGAAAAAAACAATCGATTAGTCTAAAGACAAATGAGGAGTTTAAAGATTCTATAAGTACACAAACAATCTAGTTTTAAACTTCTACTACATATAAATATTGACACCTGAGTAGCCAAATCCTTTATTGCTCAAGGAAAGAGACAACATCCACTGAAGGTACTACGCTACAGTGTTTGGAAGAACACATGCTGGGATCTGTCAGATAAACCACCCTTTGGAACTACTGACCTAAAGGGAATCAGATTTGGGATTGATCTGTACTTAAAAACTCATACTTTAAGACTGTTTTTTATAATACAGCTTAAACTGAGAATATATGGAAAAGGTGTGATGTGTGCATTTGTCGATGCTACATGTGATTTTGCTAGTGAGGACGTTACTTGGAGCTTGTTATACTTTGTAATAGGAAAAGAAAGCTGTTGAGCAATGGATTGTCATTGTTAGGGTGTGAGAAGCCACTAATCAAATGTGTAAGTCTTTCTTATCTGTGCCTTTTAATGACAGTTCTCAGCATGAAACGGCATTTCTCTAAACTCCAAAATTTCCCAAGAGCTCCTGTGCACCAATACAGGGAAAAGAGGTGGTTCACGATATGCTTAAAGAGAGGACATAAAGCCAAAGCATGAGCTGGCAGTGCTGAGGATATCCTGCTCCTCTTTAATTGACAGACCATCTAGGATTTTGAGTTAAGAGAACTACTACAGAAGGAAAGTTCACGCTGTGATGGCCGTTTTGCAGGAAAGGTGGCCAGGATGGACATTTCCAGAAGTGAATTTGGGTAATCTCTGCTAACAGATGCTGAACTCCTGGCACCTACAGATATTTCTAAGAGATGACCCCAACATTCATCCCAAAAAGGGGATGGAAACCTCAGCAATCTCACATTCCCTATCATCTACCATGCAGAGTAGGTTAGAGATTGGGATGTCATTGCAGACACCCCAAAATTGATGCTCCAAGAAGCATTACTGGTTGGTGGGTGAGGATTGAGGATGAAGACTGTGGCTTCCAAACTCATCTCTGAGCCCACCAGCCTGACCTCTTGTATCTAATCAGAGCCAAAAACTCCTGGCATGGGGCAATACGAGACTTGGGATAAGGGATTTCTCCTGCAGCTCTATGGAATAATAAGGATTAGGTCAGAGAAGGCTCTTCCAGGGTAAGGATGTGTGAGGTGAAGCCTTGGCCAGCTTGGGGTGGATGTGTCCATCCCAGCCAGCAGTAATTCATTATTTTCTATTGTGTGGCCAGCAGGGACAGAGAGGTGATTGTTCCCCTCTACTCTGCTCTTGTGAGGCCCCATCTGCAGTACTGCGTCCAGGTCTGGAGCCCCCAGTACAAGAAAGACAGGGAGCTGTTGGAGAGGGTCCAGAGGAGGGCCACGAAGATGATCAGGAGACTGGAGCACCTCCACTATGAGGACAGGGTGAGGGAGCTGGGCTTGTTCAGCCTGGAGAAAAGAAGGCTGTGGGGTGACCTCATTGCAGCATTTCAGTACCTAAAGGGAGCCTACAAAGAGGAGGGGAATCAACTCTTTGAAAGGGTGAGTGACAGCAGGACAAGGGGAAATGGTTTTAAGCTGAGGGAAGGGAGATATAGGTTGGATGTCAGGGGGAAATTCTTTACAGAGAGAGTGGTGAGGTACTGGAACAGCTGCCCAGAGAGGTTGTGGATGCCCCGTCCCTGGAGGGGTTCAAGGCCAGATTGGATGGGGGCCCTGGGCAGTCTGGTCTAGCATTAGGTGGGGAGGTTGGTGGCCCTGCGTGTGGCAGGGGGGTTGGAGATTCATGATCCTTGAGGTCCCTCCCAACCCTGGCAATTCTGTGATTCTGTGCATCTCTCATCTAAAATGATCTTTTAAGAGCCTTCTGCTTTTCTTATCAGAATGTTCTGCACTTTAAAATTAATGGCTGCTCCCCGCCAGGCTACAGAAGCGGAGATTATTTTCTTCCTGCTGAGTGTTTGGTGGGATGAGCGCCCTTCTTTACAGCCAGCTCTTAGCCAGTTTCAATAGCACCGATCCACATTCATCAGTCAGAGGCAAATTAACAGCCTTCTCCCACCAAAAGTCCTAATTCTGTTGAACTTCTAGAACTGCTCTGAGAATTACCATTCCTGATACAAATATATATATATATTTCTAACAGCAGATGATGATTTTTAGTTTTCCCTTAATTAAATAAAGCAAAGGTGAAAAGATCTTTTGTAAGAAATCAGGGAGGGAGCTGATGGGCAGTGACCTGCTTAGGATCTGGCACCCAGATACCCAGCCATGTTAAACAAGCAGCTCTGATATCCTATGCTTCCTAATTGTGGAGTGCATGGAGATTGGTGTGTCATTCCGTAATCCCCCAATCTCCACTAAGTGATCAAAACCATTGGAGACCCACTGAGGTTTTGGCTGAACTCCCACATATTTTCCGCTTTTAGTCCAGTTTGGGAGGCTATAAAATCAACCCCAGCTGCAAATAGGATTTAAATCCAAAGCCACAAATAGAAATACCCTTGGCCAACTCTTCCTGCCATTCCCAAGAGAAGTCAGTCAAGTCGCTTGGATCTTCTGATCCAAATTTGCTGCTGAAATCAGTTGGCTGCACAGAGACTGGTGTCTGTGTAATGAAGTGATTTTGGAGCACATTTGGAGCTCCCCAAACCTCCCCCTTCCTGGTCTATCGCTTTGGGATCCCCATGCTGCAAGAAACCAAAGCTCATGGCCACCAATCAGCTCTAGCCAAACATCAGCTAGCCCTTGGGATCAACAGCTCAGTGGTCCCTGGCTTAACTTCAGCTCATTACCACCAAGTTGGTCATAATGCTATTGCATAAGGAAAGGGAAACAATTACAGCAGTGAATGGAAATCGATATGATTCTTTGCCACTTGGCAGCCTCTCAGATCTCATTGGAACTCCTTTGTGATGAACTTGATCTTGTAACTGAAATCAATATAGTATGGCATAACTACAATGCAGTGATCAACAGCCACTAAGATTAATTCTTCCCCAGCCCTAGAATCTCTCTAAATGTTTCTAAAATCTTGGTCCACACATCAGTTCACCAGGATGAAATCTTCTGGGAATCATTTTCAAAGTCCACTTCCGTTTCCAAGTGAGAAAGCCCTCTCTGGCTGCTACAAGATGGGACCAGAAGGATGGGAAAAATGAAGAGAGATTTTAAAAGAGATGCAGCCCCAAAACAGTAGCACTTGCATGTGCTTCAGCATTCAACAGTTACTAGTATTTTGCAGGTGCTGTGTAGCATTTCATGACACCATTGGATCTCAATGGCACCGCCACAAGGTCTTGACCTTAGCCCCAGTGCAATGGGAAGGGCACTGAGCTGGACAAAGGGTTTCCCAGAGATCTCATTTGTGCAACAGTATCTATCCCATAAACACGAGATTTGGGAGGAGAATAAACAGTTTTCCAGTCTTTGCCAGTGCAAGTCCAGGAGAAAAAAAAGCAGAAAAATGGGATGGTAGAGATTTAAGCCTTGCTCTTTGCTCTGTGAGGTCTGTTCCTCTACTCATTCAGCTTACATTTTTGGGCACCAGTTGGGTTTGCAACCATTCTGAAGCAAAACCTTAGCAAAGCCCAGCTGCCAAAAGGTATGCACGTGGCTCTAGCCACACAGTTCTCCTCTCATCAAGATTTCCTTACAGTGCAACCTCCCCATTGCCATCTCCCCCCTGGACCTTCTCCAGCACTGAGCTTTGAGGAGCAGATGGAGAGCCACAAAGTGGCTGCAAATAACTCCCAGTCAGAAGAAAATACATATGTTTCTCTTTGTTTCTTTGTTTAGTTCCCCCCTATGTGAATCCCCAGCACACTCAGTACTCACATTTTTGGGGAGATAATTTTTCTTTGCTCCTTACACAGTTCACGAGCAGCTCCATCACTTCTTCCATTGGCCTGTAAGCTTCTTCACACCACAATCCCAAGGCCATGGGAACCCTCTCACCACCAACTGCAGCTCTTGTATCACACCAAAAAAGACCAAAAACATAATTACTCCCTCTTTTTGAAGGTAAACTGTAAATCCCTTTTTTCAAAAAGCCCTTTAATCACTATTTCTAGCATGAGAAAATCATCCTACCAAGCCCCAACAATGACACAGCAAAAAAAAAAGTTGTTTGGCTTGGCTCATCCTTTCCTAAATAAAGCCCTGCTGTGACCTTTTGCATCCAACTAGGGATTGGCTCCATCCACCTCAACACCTCTGCATGATTCCAGCACAGCTGGAGCCTCTGCCCCTGCTTCCTTGCAGCTCCCCTGGCTTCAATCTCACTCTTTGAGCGCAGATGCTGCTGTGCACTAGGGTTCAGCCCTGTGGGGTACGTGTTGTGCCTTATATCTCTGTATCATATTCTTCTCAATGGTGGTCACCACTGTCTGGACTACCATCACCTCATAGTTGGGCCACTCTTGTCCCCTTGGCCAGGCCTTGCTCATCCAACGGTTGGGTGCCCATTGACCTACTCTCATCCTGTGGCTGTCCTTGGCCCATCGTTGTGACATCGTTGTCCCTACAGATGGGCTGTCTTTGCCCAGTGGTTGGGCATCTGTCACCCCATGGCTGCTATCACCCAATAGGTACTCTCATCCAATGGCCTCCCTCATTCCACAACTGGGCCATACTCACCCTATGGCTGTTCTTTCCCTATGACTAGGCAATGCTCACTACACTGTTGGGTGTCCATTGCCCCATGTCAGGACTACCCTCACCCCACAGTTGAGAGTCCATCACCCCATGGTTTGATGTCCATTGGTCCATGGTTGGGTGTTTATTGACCCCTGGTTGGGCATCCACTAATCTGTGGCTGTGCCACCCTCATCCCGTGGCTGCTGTCATCTCATGACTGTGCCATCCTTACTCTGTAGTTGGTTGTCCATCATCCAATAGCTGTCCTCACCCCATGGCTATGCATTCAACATCCCATGGCTGCCCGCTGTCCCAAACTGGGCTACACTTACCCCATAGCTGCTTTTGCCCTATGTCTGGACCATCCTCACATCACGGTTGGGTGTTGGGTTTCCATCACCTGATATTTGGTCATCCATTGACCTACAGTTTGGCTGTCCATCACCCCATGGCAGGACCACACTCACCCCAGGTTTGAGTGTCCATTATCCCAGAGCTGGGTATCCATCCCCCCTGCCCCACAACCACCCTCATCATCCTCTCCCTCAGACAGAGTGGTCCCTGCATCCACACTCTCTGTTCTCCCCAGCTCAGTGAAGAGACTTCACTGCAGAACAGCAGGACAAACATGACCATCCCCACACATAGCAGGAATACCCACCCTGCGGGTGGGAATGCCACGCTCCTCCCCAGCTTTTAATCACAGCGCTCAGGCATCACAGCAACAATAAGGAGTGAGAGCAAGGACTGCAGCAACGAGAGGGCTTGCGGTGAGCAACAGCTGGTGAATGAGATGCATTTCCCTATCCTTTTGAAACAATCAGCGAGCAGAAGGATCTTGGAGCTCTCTCGGAACCAGGCAAGCTTCAGGCAGACTACGGGTGGTGAGTGTGCTCTGCAGAGGGAGTCCTGCTTCCTTAAGGAAACAAATATATATATATATATTGATGCTGGATGGAAAGATGGAAAAACTGAAAGATGGAAATTCAGTGATCAGATTTGCTTCTAGTTTCCATCCAGATTTTGTTTTCCAGGGCTGGATGCACAGAGCTGGAGCTACTTTAAATATAGCACAAAGCAGAAAACTATAATATCTCTCAGTAAACTCTGGGAGTTAACTAATAAGGGGTAAGGAGGCTGTTCAGCCTGGGAAACAAAAAGATAAATGAGACAGTGTGGGGTCCCAGGAGTAATTCTGCTTTTCCCTGCACTTTCAACCGAAACAGATCTGCCCCCAGTTCTGCTGCTGCCAGGAGCTCTGTGGCTGTTCTGAGGACAGCTTCCACACACTCCAAGAAGGACCAAGTGCTGCAGGTAAGGAGCCAAAGTGGTGGGTAAAGAGAGAGAGGGAGGATGAGAATGGGAGCGAATGGGGTGCTGAGCTGGCTCAGTGATGGGAAGACAGTGCACAGGTTTTCCTCTGGAAAGCATTGTGGAGAAGTAATGGGAGAGGAAAAGTTGGGTGGGCTGGGATGTGTTGAACGCTCCTGCCCAGCTGTGCGGCTAGAGGCAGGGAATGAGGCTGACAGCGAGACACTGAGAGCAAGAAGAAATATGGGTGCCTTTATTTCCCTGCTGCGTGTCAGCTCAGGTTACTTTCAATCCCACATCCTGAGCTGCTTTTCCCAGCAGGCAGCTCACAGCAGCAGGAGAACTGTTCAGTTAACCACTTCCTAGCCATGCTCCCTGCTTTTTCCACACCAAAGCTTCAGCGTGCAACTACAGGGACCTAAACCTTGCAGAACTAGACATTGGGGACTGGTCTTTCTGTCCAGAAGCACAACCACAGTGAGTCTCTCTCCTCTTCAGGGACAAACGTCGGGCCCCTGCCTTTCTGAGCCCTTGTCATGGCACTCCCCAATGACTCCTGGCAGAACACCTCAGCCCCTCTCTTCACAGGCCTCGACTTCTTGCTGGAGCTTAAGCCGCTCTTCATCCCTCTCTACGCCACCTTGGTGGCTGTGGCGTGCATGGGGAACCTCTTCCTCATTCTCCTCATCGCTCTCACCAAAAAGCTGCACTGCACCACCAATTTCCTCATTGGCAACCTGGCAGCGGCTGACTTTGTCATGTGCCTGGCCTGCGTCCCTCTGACTGTCTCCTATGCCTTCGAGGTGCGGGGTTGGCTTTTTGGAATGTTCATGTGCTACTTTGTCACTCTGATGCAGGCCACCACCGTGTTTGTCTCAGTGCTGTCCCTCACCGCCATCGCCATCGACCGCTACATCGTCGTGGCCTACCCCATCCGCCGAAGGATAAGCCGCAAGTCCTGTGCCTGCATCGTGGCCTGCATCTGGCTTCTCTCCATCCTGGCCTCTGTTCCCACCTCGCTGCACACACAGTACTTGGATCTCAACGCCATCGGCCATGACATGATCATCTGCGAGGAGTTTTGGAAGCACAAGGAGAGGGAGCGGCTGCTGTACTCGTGTCTGATGCTCCTCTTGTCCTACATGCTCCCACTGCTGGCAGTATCAGTCTCCTTCTGTGCCATCTCCTACCACCTGCAGAAGAGGAGCATCCCGGGAGCTGCCTACCCATGCCAAGACAAGTGGAGCAAAACGAAGCAGAAGACTTTCCGGGTGCTCACCATCTCGGTGGTTTGCTTTGCTGTCTGCTGGCTGCCCCTCCAGGTGGTCAACTTCATCAGAGACATTGACGAAGAGTTCACCATCCTGGACAAGAGATACGTGAACGTCATCCAGGTCTCATGCCACCTGATTGCCATGAGCTCCACCTGCTACAACCCCTTCATCTACGCCTCTCTCCATGACAAGTTCCGCTTCCACCTCAGCAGTTACTTCTACCGCAAGAAGAAGAGCTCCAGCACTGTGTCCTACAAGGCATCTCGGTTCAACACCTGCTCCACCCTGGGAGATGCCCCAGCTGGACTCTCGGATAAGATAGCTTTGCAAACCAGATTCTCTTAGCTGAACTTCCCCTACAGGCTTGCTCTTGGGCCTGGATGTAGATGTTTGTGCCTGGCAGGGAGAGCAAGCACCACGGAACCAAGTGAAGGGATGTCTGTCCTCAAGTAGCAGCTCTTCTGAGCAGCACAAGGACATTTTATTCCTTGACACAGAGCACACCAGCACAACAACAACATATACCACAACCATGTGAAAATAGAATAATCTTGAGCAGGATTTACCTGCTGGCCCCCATAGAGACACAATGGGCACTGGTGGGTGTTTCTACCTGGTCTGACTCAAGAATCAGTGCCAATGAAACAGCTTTCACTTGCCTTGTTGAAATAGAACAACGTATATATATCTGGATTCAGAACTGGGTATATAATTGGTGTGATGGTAACCAATTATTGTTCCATAAACCTCAGTTCTCAGAAATGCCTACACACAATGACACAGTCAAAATCTGCCCAAATACGAGTGCTCGCTTCGTGTGCAAGGAGAAGTGCTCATGCTGTACCACTGGTTGTGCAGCAAGGCTGGGGATGGGGTATATACACACACTAGATTTCCAATCACAGCTCACTATGCCAGGGGACTGGTGCTGTATTTGTAGCACAAAGACCTTGTGGTGTATATAGGGGTGGGCAAGATGTTGGGTGCATTTAAAGAAGTCTTTGGAGTACACGTTGTCATTCTGTAGAATACAGATTGTTCCTAAGCAACAGATAGCATTTTCTGCCTCTGGAGGAACACCAGCTCTTCCAGGCAGCACTTAAAGAGCTGTCCATTTTTTTGTTTAAATTGCAGTCCATTGGTGTAAGGACAATATAGATTCAGAAGTGTGCATTCTTCTGCCAGCTAGCATGTAGGGCACACTGCCACAGCTTGTGTTGAGTGTGGGACTTCCATCATCTACTTGTCCTTCTGAGTAACCTCATCCGCATAACTTCATAGGATAGTCCCAGTTTCTCCAGCCAGAAGTGTGCAGCCAAACAAGATGGGGCAGACAGGGCTCAAGGTAATGCACTAGGTGATAAGAAAGGTATCAAGCTGTATGCTTGCTGAGGAAGAAGTCCCAGTCTCCACTCAGAGTGATTTATATGCAGAGAAGTCATATGCTCTTCTTGGGCAGGGATGGGAATCCTGCTCATGGGCTACTCTGACCCCAAAACTGCTGAATAAATTGTGGGTTGGACTCTGGTGTCCCCAGATGTTGGTTGGACCTTAAGAGCCTCAGGCAACAACCTGCTGTTGGCTCACCTTACTGCTGAGACCTTCACGGTCCCAATGGCCATTCTGGAACAGGAGACAGAAGCCCATCAAACACAACACTGCTCACTCTGTTGGCTTCTTGCAGCTTTCTTGTAGCTACATAGGGTCGTGCTTAGGACCAAGGCTGAAGTATTTGTGCTGGAGGAGCAAAGCCCACGTCACTGCTTGTCCTTTCTGCTAATAAAGGCTTTAAAAAGCTCAGGCTGCGTGTTTGTATTGATTCAAACCAAAAAGACAAGGCCTGCAGTCACTCCCCCTGCATGCAATTTGATCCCATCACAGGAAAACAATCAATCTGGAAGTGTTTATCCATCACTGTGACAGGCAGCTGCTTGGAGTCTAGCTGGCAACCAGGGCTGGAGCTCTGAGATTTTCAAGGAAGCTTTGCTATGACACAGCTTGGCAGTTCCTTTCTTTCTTTTATTTACAGGACTTAGTGTGTGCTTTCTCTCACTTGGACTTCTCACTACAGCATTGCCCATGCCCCAGATTCACCTGAAATTTTGCAATGGCGAATAATAGGTCTCAGTATCCACTTCACACTGCTCAGATTTAGGGTGCAGTAGCCTGCTGCTCCATAGCCTTCTGCTTGAGGAACTCTGCACAAATGTGAGATAGTGCTCCGAATCCCATTTGCCTGCACACTGCCAGAGAGCATGTGGTGCTCGCAACAACACTGTGTTTTATGTGATTAGTTCTACATTTAATTAACTTGGGGGAAAAAAAAAGGAGATTGAAGAGTGATTAAGCCACCCAGCACTTGCATTTCCCAGCCCCGTTGTGCTGCTGAGCACAGAGGATGCCTCTGATGGGGATGAATCAGGTGGGAAGCAGCAAAGAGCTCATGATTGTTTTCTTAAATTAATGCTTTTTGAAATAATCACAGACTTTCCCTGGGATTTTGCACTCTGACTGTGCTGCACTTTCAAGTATGTGGTGGCAGAAGAGAAGTATGGAGCTGGGAGGACAGACGGGTGGGTGGGTGGGTGGATGAATAGATGAGTGGATGGATGGATGGATGGATGGATGGATGGATGGATGGATGGACGGAGGGATGGACGGAGGGATGGAAGGACAGATTGACTGCTGGGTTCATGTTCTCCAGGCAGTGAGCACTGCTTTGCTCCTCTGAGCTGCAACCATGGTTCCTCCGCTCAGCACAGTGAGCACTGCCTATGAATCAACACCCAAAGCCAAGTCCAACCACACGAGTGCTCAGGATGCTGGATAGTTTTTCTAGCACTGAAGTGCTGCTTGATCCAGTTGCACTTGAAAGGCAACATCAAACAACACAAATAGAAATGCAAATGGGTCTTTTCATCTCAGATTTTCAGACTGTGCAGCAAAGCTCATTGCAAGCAGAGGTGTTCTCTGTGGCAAGGATCATGTTGTTTTGCTGCGTGGCTTGAGAGTTTTCTGCTACTCCAAGGGAGGAAGGACTCAAAGCCTAGGTGGGAAAAAGATACACAAAGCCATAAAAATGTGAACAAACCAATAGCAATTAAAAAGAAAATCCTACAGAGTTGCTGCAGAAGTGAGCTAAAACAGCCAGGGATTTATTTCTCCCACCTTGTAATAAATGTTAGTACTTGAGTGCCATGGGGCTTGCATGTGGTTTGGGTTTGAAATAAGAGAGGCATCCCAAACAACAGAGATCTGTCCTCATTAGGAGTGATGCTTTGTGTCAGCTGGATATTCCCAGGAGGGAAGAGGGGAGAATGGGCTCCACCTGCCTTGGCTTGCAGAGCTTCCCCTTGCTAAATGCTGTGCGGAAATCCCCAAATCCCCCTTTCACTTACAAGCAGAGCTAAACCTTTCGGGACCTTTCCACCTCATTACGTGCCTTGAGAACTGAGGAGAGGGAGGATTTTCTCCCCCGTGCCCAGCTCAAGTTCTTCACAACTCTGCTGCCCTGTTGTCCAGATGTCAAAATCCAGCTAGCAAATCCCAGGCACAGGCAATTTTATTTTATTTTCTCTCTTGTCATGATGAGCACATGAAGAAGAGGCCATTTCATCATGCTGGGGACAAGTCTGGAGTCCTACTGGAGTTGAAGGACCTGCATGCCAAAGGCACAGCAAATTCTCCATGTCAAAGAGGGATGCCCTTCTGAGAGGGATGCCAACTGCTCTTGCTGTTGCACGTGTTTTGAGGCAGAAGGAAGCATTTCCAGACATTATACAGATTTTTTCCCCTGTGGGATGAAGCGGTCTGGTGAATATTATTTGTGCATGGTGTTGAAAATTGCTCAGGGCTTTACAAGGAAGGCTCTCCTCCTGCTTATTCTCACAGCAAACAAAATCCATAAGCAAAATCTTTTTGACCTTTGGCTAAAGATGCAGGAAAGACAAACCAAAAAATGAGAACACATGCAACATAAAGTCTTAAATAAGCAAATTCACTCCAGCATCATCTCTTGTTTCCTTATCCTATTGCTCTGGAAAGCTGTAGGAACTTCTCCCTCTTTAACTCTCAGCCAGCTGGAAGGAGAGACACAGCTGGGACACGCTGTAGCTGCTGCTGACCCAGTGGTTTCAATTGTATTTTCCTTGAACACAACAGAAAAGAAACACAAAAAAGGAACAAGAGCAGTAATGACAGCAGATGTAGGTTCTGGTTCAGCAGTGTGCAAAGACCCAGGAGGAAGGGGCTAAGGAAGGAGAAGGATCTCCTACAGAGATGGGATTGTGAGAAGTGATAGGAATGATGATTTCTGGCTGTCTGTGTGTCAGTGGCATAGGTTTGATCTCCTCAAGGTCCTGCTGAAGATCTGCAGGTTAACAAAATCATGGTCCATAGGATGCTGTGATGTGAAGCTCATCTTTATCTATTTGGTAGCCATCCTGACCATGACAGGGGCCTGGAACTGGATGACTTTTAAGGTCCCTTCCAACTCAAACATTCTATGGTTTTATGGTCCCCCACATCCATGATGTCACCAAAGATCCTTGTCCCCACTGAGCGTGATGTATTCAACCACTGTGAGAAAAAAAAAAAAAAAAAGAGAATGGGGTACAAAAATTGTTTGATCGTTCTTTTTCACACAGGAATAAGCTCATAGAGATAGAGATGTCTATCCATCTACCATACTGGTAAATCCAGCATGGAAGAACTCATTTTTTTATGGTGTTTGAAGGCTATATGGGGTAGGCTCCCCTATATGCCATTTACTGTCATCTATAGGGGATGAGGATGTGGTCCAAGATGTAAACCCATTTCTCGTCAAAGGCTGCTAAGAAACACAGGACAATTTCTTTCAAGTTTCTTACAGAAAAAAAATTAAAAATCCTCTCTTCTCAAGATGAGACAAATAAAACGAAGAGGCCTCTCTCCTGCAAGTCCCTTGGCTTTTTCTTTTTCTTTTCTTTTCTTTTTTTTTTTTTTTTTTGTCACCAACTCTCTGCAGTTTCAAAGCCAACTTAAACCTCTCCTAAAATCCAGGTTGAATTAGAGGCATTTACTGAACGGGCAGATTTGGCAGGTTCTGTACTATAGCAAGCAGTAAACAGACAAAATTGAGGTTGTGTCTCTGAGTTTAGTAAATGGAAAGAATGGGGCGGTATCACAGCTCCTCTTTCCCAGAGTTCATCTGTACTTCCCATTATTTTGTCCCACTTAGCTTTAATTGATCAAAAAGGATGGCATTTTTACAACTTGCCTTGGGCTATCAGTCCTCCCTCCAACCAGTGGTACCATAGGAAATCACAGGCTGTTATCCAGCATCTATCCTTTCTTTCTTTCTTAATTTCCTCCCATCAAAATCTATATTACCTCACTCTTAATTAAAACTCCTCGAATTGTCCTCTTTAGCTCCTCTTGTCATTTTTCCCCCCTCAGCTGAGGATCAGGGGTTTTAAAGGAGTAGAGGAGGGCAGCTTTGAAAGGGGAGTCTCACCACCCATGGGGTGGGGGCAGGTTTGCCTCTCCGTATTTCATTCTCCCCCCCTTTCAATCTCTCCCTCCTGGCTGGGATGTTTTGTTCATCTTCCAAAATTACATGCAGGAAATGGGAAAGCACTGTTTTGTAAGAATGAGCTAAAACCCAAGTGTCTTCTGAGAATACATTCAAAATCACTCCACAAATCCAGTCATCACAGTCCCTGATTCAAAGGAATTGGTACACATAAAGAAGAACACAATTCGTTCACTTAATGAAAGTAAATTAGATAAAATATGTTTGAAGGATGACTCTGTGCTGCTTTTCTCAACAAGATCCTCTTCGCTTGCTCTACCAGGAACCGTCAGCTATAAATGGGGTAACTTTGTTGAACCATCCTCTGTTCTGAAGATTTTTGCTGAATGTTCTGCCTAAGCATGTTTTCTCCTTGCAATCTCTTTTGTCAGCTGAAATATGGCTCAGAACCCAATGCTCTTGCCAGCTTGTTATTGCTCTTGGTCTCAGCAACAACCCGCCAATAGCCTTCCTGTTGCCAGGAGCTGAAGAGATACTAAATTATCCAAAGTATAGACAGCTAAAAGGTTTATTTTTAATTAGTATGAGTCTTGAATGCAGGGTACGACCTCTGGGACAAAGGCTCAACAGCAGCCTTCTGCAACCATCTGCACATTGTTTAAATGTTTTATCAGTTGATCTGGTTCAACAAATGAAGAGGCCGAGGTTGGGGTCTGTGCACATTGAAAATGTCCGATTGATTCTTCATTGCATGCATCTGAGCCACAAATAACTTCTAATTCTGAGATTAATGCCTTTTTGACTGAGGTATAAGGTGATTTGTTTCTCAGCCAAGGAAGGTATTTTTGATTTATGAAGTTGTCCTCTGTGATGCCCAACACGTCTTGATACTGGCAGAATGGGACCTGAAACAAAAGCTCCTTGGGCTGAAACTCTCACAGTCTTTTCCAACATCATAAGTATAGGTATTTAAAGACCTGATTATCTTCTTAGTTGAGATTTGGTGGTCTACAACTCTTCAGTCTGCTAGAATACGGCCCAAGAGTGCTCAAGACCACTTGTTTTCAGCTGACTTGAAAACTGGTAATTCTGTGGTTACATAGATTGCCACATTCCTTTGTTTATGTCATCCTCTTTAAATTGATTATGTCTAGTGATTCTGATAGTCCAGGCTATTTTGAGCTAATCTATTCTTGTCCTTCCTACTCACCCCCAACCTCCTTTTCATCTCTATTAGCA